CATCAAACCAAATTGCATCAACAAGTTTAATTTAGCCCTTATTCAGGTTTCTTTTCTGGGAATAGTCAATAACTATTTGGAAATGCTTCATGTCTTCCTTTGACACACTTGGTAGGTAGTAAAACCTGGCTGATGTGAAATGGCACCACAGTTCGATACAGTTGTGATTATCTGTGGCCTGTATGAGGCCCCTCTGATTGCCCCACTTTGGTATTTGTGCTTCAGGCTTCAATTAAAACTCCATGCCTGAGGAGAAGGCCAAGAGGCCAGCATACTGCAGAGACCTTTTAAAAACAGCTGTCTTTGCTGACCCTGTAATGGATTTCCCAGTCCGACTTCACACACGAAACCAAAATGGCTTCCCGTCAGGCTTCTGGAGTCCATCTTCTAAACCATTCCCAATTCTCATCCTTCCCTCCCTTCTTGTGCACTCTGCCCTCAACCATGGCCTTGAACTTCACCCCCATCTTAACTCAGGATGTGATCACTAGACTCTGCCTGACACGTTGAATGTTCCTCCAGAGGTTTGCTGGCATGAGACAAAGATCAAAGAGAGTGACCTCAGCCAAATGATCAAACAATAGTCTCACTTCCAGAGAGAAGCACCACAGACAGATAATATTAGGGATATATGATTGCATTATCCCAGGCCTCACCAGATAGATTGACAGAATGATAGATAAAACTGTATAGATAGATAGATTTTTAATCGATTATCAGTTTCTGAAGGACATGTTTTGTGTAGAAGTTTAATACTTAGAATTGTGTGCTCTGCTCTGCTCACAATAGGTTCAGGTAGGGCTCAACCTGTGCAGAGCACATGCCCTTTTTTCCCTTACACTCCGAAGTGCCCTTTTTTTGGTGGCGGTGTTTGTTTTTGTTTTTCTTCTTCAATAAATCAATGCTATCACCCTTTACGTTTGTCTGCCTGTTTTACAAATATTTACAAGCCAGTGAGAGGTATTAAAAAGAGCTTATGACTCAATCTTGTTGGATCCGCTCAAACTGTCAGTAAAATCTTGACTGAATTAACTGAAGTCTTGCAAGGGTAAATAAAGATCTTGTTGTTTGAATAAGTACAGCATTTGCTTTACGCAAGAAACACTATAAAGGCTCATATTTTATGTATTTTAGGTATGAGACATGAGGGACCGGAGAGAAAGGGCTAACATTTGCCATCTAGTCATAGCCAATACACTTAAATAGCCTGTCCATACAGTAGCATTTCATCTCATAAAATGAGATTTTGGCCAAATGTATTTTACAACAGGTAAAACTGAGCACCCATAGCTACAACAAACTTTCTAACCTGTTGGTAAAAACGTAATGTGATGCCACCGTTTTATTGACGGACAAAATGCGCATTTGCAAACATTCGCAGGTCAAAAACCCCGTAACTGCATTTGAGTTTGACACAAAGTGACTGAGTGATCCTCGTCACCTAGGTAACTTAAAATATATTTCTAAAAAAAAATTTATTTGATTTATTACTGCTGATACACTTAATTTATTAACATTTAATCATATTAGGCCTATATGGTTGCATGGTTCATGTTTACGCTGTTAATATGCATGTATTCGCTAGCTAGCTAATTTCTTAATCTATTATTCTATACTCTCCACTTGTCTTCACATGTAAACGTAGTAAAATATGGTTTTAAGTAAATGTTTTATTAACCAAAAAAAAGCATTACAGAATC